CAAGGGAAGGAAGGAGAATGCATAAATACACACAATTAGAAGTGACGGCAGGTATGGTGCCAGCGGCATCCAGGCAGATGAGCGGCTGCCTCACATCTGGAAGCTTGAACAGCTGCCTCTATGGCCCATGCCACGTGGTGTTAAATCACAGTCAGGCGTCACTGGACCACCAGGACTTGCTCTGCGGATTTCCTCATGGTGTGGGTACCACTGAGTCTGCCAACCCAAACCTGGATGGTGGAGCCCTCTGCACAGTTGAGCTCTGGGGTCTAGCCTGTTGTTCCTTGAGGCAACTGTACAGATTGCTCCTGTAACCCAATACCAGAGGCACACCTGCTGGGCAGTACTAATAGGCAGGAGGAATTTTTCAGATCCCTCATCATCACAGAATGAACAGAACCATCATTTTGCTGCACAAGCACGAGGACATGAATTTGGATCCCCAGCACCCACATAAAAAAAACTGTGTGTGTGGTCTCATAGGCCTGTAATCCCAGCACTGGGGAGGGAGAGGTGGGAGGGTCCTGGAGACTTTCCCAGACAGCTAGACTAGGTAAACCTGTGAGCTCCAGGTACAGTGACAGACCTTATCTCAAACGTTAATGTGCAGAGAGATAGAGGAAGACACCTGACATCTCCTCTGACCTCCACATGCTTGGGAATAGGGTCACTCACATGCATACACAACACACATACAGAGCGCACAAATAAAAAATAAATTAAATAAATAATTTTTAAAGTCTCCCTAGGCCAAGAATCTAAATTTCTAGAATTTAGGGCCATGGCAACATCACCATAGATTCTTTGGCCTTAAATCTAAAGAGAAATTTCACCAGCACATTTTGGGAGAGAGCTTTTATTTTGCAAAAGTCACCTGACTATTATTTCACGGACTTGACAGCCAACCTAAGTGAGGGACAGAGGATGTTATAATGAGTGTGATGGGTACCACAATTCTGCTGAGAAGCCTGTGGCACAGAGAGAAGTGATCTGCTTGAAGTCACAGCGTATCCCTCTAGTTAGAAGAAGCAAGGTCAACCTCTCACTGTCTAATTGCCCTCTGCCTACCCCTGTCTCGAGATAGGATGAGATCTGTAGACACTGAGGCTCTGGTATCACAGATACCTGGGCACAAACCTCAGTTTTGTCACTATGATTTGTGTGTCTCTAACACATGCTGAACTGATCTGCACTGGAGAAAGATGCTCCGCCTGGAACAGATGGGAGGATTCCTTGCCCATCTAAGTGCCAATGTGAAAAGCTACCTCCAGATGCCCCTTTTATTCTTAAGCCATTTTTGCCTCCCTGCTGTCATTGCTTATTAATTGCACCTTTTTTTTTTTTTTTTTTTTTTTTTTTGAGTAGGGATCTCAAGTAGCCCAGGCTGGCCTCAAACTCAACTTCCGATTCTCCTGCCTCGACCTCTTCAGGGCTGAAATTACAGGTCTGTAATAAATGTTGTGTTTATGTGGTCCTGGGGGTGGAACCCAGGGCCTCCATGCCTGCTAGGCAACTGAGGTACAACTCAGTCCATCTTCTGGTATCCAGATCATTTAGGCCTTTGTGTTTTCTCTTTGTTTGCTGGAGTTAAATGTTAAGGTTTTTCTAGGAAAAATTGTTTATGTCAATAACTTTTTAAAGTAAACAATGGGATTTTTATTGTTGTCATTAAAATTGTCCAATTGTTTGAGTAGACTGGGCAGGTGCTACCTAGGCTGTGGCATGTGTTTAGAATGATAGCTACCACTTGCAGCCTCTGACTGGATGCCAGACACTGGGCTGAACACTGAACACACACACAGCAAAACCAGACGTGCAGGAAAAAGCAACTCCATTTCTGAAAATAGACTTGGACTTTCTCATGCAGTTTTGTGGACCAGGGAAAGAGAAGAGAGGAGGGGATATGTGGAGGGTGGTACCGTGGCATGGTTCTGTCTTCACAGAGGACAGTGCCATTGCAGCTGCAGCACAGGGGAAGAAGGAGGACTCTGGGCAGAACTTCCAGCTCTCCATGAAGGAGACTCAGAAGAGAAATGGGACCTGGTAGTGGCTGGTGCTGGAATGTAGAGGGCCCTATGTGGAGGGAACACACAGTGGGAGGCAGCACACCAGGACTGGGGCTCAAGCAGTAAGCCAGCAAGATGTTCCAAAGCAAAGTAGGGACAGGCCTGTTTCTAGGAGTCAGGGACACTGGCTCAGCAGCCATCAGAATGGGCCCTGTTCAAGAGAAGCCCAAAGGGATCCTTTGCTGTGACCACTGTGAGGTCACAAAATGGCTTGAGAAAGTCTAATGGCCTTTTCGAAAATGAAATGTGGTTTTTTTTGCACCTCTGATTTCCACAACATGTATGTTCAGTCCCATGCCAGGCAGCCAGGCAGAGCCAGTCAATGGTGGTTATCCTTTCCAAGGTTATTATTATGGTCTCTCCTGCCTCACTTCTACTCCCCAGGAATTGTGGATTCTTTAATCTCTGTCAACTTCTCTTACAGAGGAAGGAACACCTCATCTGTGCATCCACAAATATGGGAACATGCGAAGTCAGTTATCCAAACGTTAGGGGAGATAACCAAGGCTTGGAGGGGAAGAAAAGATGATGGTGTGACCTTGTAACATCACCCTAGTGAGTTCGTTTCCCAATTAGGCATCCTTCCTCCCAGAATGTCACTCTATCTAAGTTAGTCACAGTCATTAAGCTGCAGATGGCCTCCCTGGTCTACAGAGAAAGATGTGAACTTTGGGGAAATTGAGGTAAGGCCATCTGTTTTTCCCCCGTCAGGTAGATAACAGAACCACAAAGGCTGGCTCCTCTTGCTCTGTTATCGTCTGGTTTCATATTTAATGCAGCCAAGTTCTTTCAGCATCCCTTTCTCCAAGTGCCAGTGTTCTAAATATCAGCTTCTTCAGTCTTTCCATGGGATCGGACATGATCCTCAGCAGTGAGTCAAGCCCAGCCTTGATGCATACTCATTACTTTATGAGAATTATGCATTCAGTCATTTGCGAACTGTACTTTGTTTAATGCACCTTAGGTTTGTTGTTGCTGTTATTCTTTTAATTTGGTTTTTACTACTTGTTCTGTTTCACTTCCCTCATTATGTGGTCCTTGATCTGTTATTTGTACAATTTCCTGCTCAAGGTTTAACACTCCCCCCCGACCAATATAAGTTCCACTAAAGTCTTCTATCCTGATGCACCCCTAGGGACTAGAACACTCCATCCATTTGAATAAGAGCCTGTGATAAACAGAGGGCGGACACAAGGACTCTGTAAGGTGGACAGTGGAAGGGGTATAGAGACTGGAAGATAAATTCTCTTTCTTGCAAACCAGTTTGATTTTTCTTCCACTTGAACTGAAAAAGTTCCAAATTGGACAATTCAGAAAGGAGATAATTTATCTTAAAGAATTAAGAGCAGCCGGACCACCACTTCCATGAGCACCAGCTGGGAAACCAGGTTAAACCATCAATTCTGTCTCTTCCTCGGGTAACTGAACCTGCCCACAGGACTAACCCACTTGCCTATAGGAGATATTGGATAGGGGTCTTTTTTCTGCCACTAGAAGAAAGCAAAACAAAAACTCCAGAAGAAAGGAGACATTGAAGGTGAACGTGGACCTGCGTGGAAGGCATTGTCGATGTCAGTCGGCCAGTGGGGTCACTCACGTCTGTTGGGTAAACTGCAAGGGCTTCGTTGGAGCCCATGGGGCTGGTTGACACATGCATTTGTGTCAGTGGTGGAGGTGGAATAAACTAGGGAAGGGTAAGGACTCCAGCCAAGAGAAAATCACATCCTGCCTGGTGGGGACATTAACTATTCAACTGTTCTCTGTTGCAGCCTTGAAGCCTCAGAGTGTGTGCACGTTTCCATGTGTATGCATGTGTACATGTAGATGCATGTGTGTGTGTGTGTGTGTGTGTGTGTGTGTGTGTGTGCCAGAGACCAGATGTTGAGTGTCTTCTTCAGTCACTCTCCACTTCGTTTTTGACATAGGGGCTCTCACTGAACCTGGAGCTCATCAATTGGCTAGACTGGTTGCCTAGCAAGCTCCAGAGGTTTCCCTGTCTCTGTTCTCCTCCCCATCCTAGGGTTATAGACATGTGCTGCTGCTGTTGCTGCTGGGCTCAATTTTTCTGTGGGCTCTGGGGATCTGAATTCAGGTCCTCATGCTTACACAGCAAGCACATTACTGACAGACCCAGATTTTTTTTTTTTTTTTTGAGACAGGGTCTCCCTGTAGCTTCAGCTACCTAGAACTCACTATGTAGACCAGGCTAGCCTTGATCTCACAGAGATCTGCCTACCTCTGCCTCCTGAATGCTGGGAGATGATTTGCCCCAGATTTCTAATACTGGCAACAACTTCCCCCACCTCCCAAGGATTTGCGCCTGGTAGGCAAATGCTCTACCACTGAGCTGTATTCCAGCCCTATTTGCACTTTTTATTTTGAAACAAGCCCTCGCTAAATTACCCGGATTGGCCTTGGACTCACCCTATAGCTCAAGCAGACCGTGAAGTTGCAATCCTCCCTGCCTCTGTGTTCCAGATAGCTAGGATTAAATAAATTCCTGTGCCACTAACTCAGTAAGTCTTCTTTCTTAAGTTAGAGAGGCAAGTAGGGCTCATAGAAAAGGCCAATCCAATGTACCAACCATTGCTTTAGGTTTTTATTTTCATGTTGCAATTTTTAAATTTATTTATTACTTATGTGCATTAGTGTTTTGCCTGCATGTGTGTAAGTGTACCTGTGCATGCAACACCCATGAAGACCAGAAGATGATATCAGGTCCCCTAGAACTGGTGTTACAGAGGGTTGTTAGCCTTCATGTGGGTGCTGGGAACTGAACCCTGGTCACCTGCAAGAACAGCCAGTGCTCTTAACTGCTGAGCCATCTCTCCAGCCCCATCATGTTGCAATTTTAAGAGAAAAAGGAAAACATGTCCGATCCCATGTCTGATAAACGGAATTACATTGTGGTTTCCAATGCTAAGTCTTTCTTACCAGCCATCCACGCCAGCTTTCTGCAGTTCTGAAATCCCAAAAGACAGAGACCCCATGAAATCATTCCTGCTGGTCAGGTCCCAGTCCCAGATCTCAACCGACAGTCTTCTGTCTTTGTCTGATTCTTTCAGCTGACTGGTGAGGGAGGGAGAAAGAACGAGAGAGAGTCAGCTGGGGCTGTTTGATTTCTCAAGCATATGAAATGGTCAAGAGGACAAAACCCAGAGGTAGAAATTCTCAACCATTACAAGCTGCTGCAAGAGAAATACTCAGTTTTCATTCCCCAGGGATCAGGAGCTCACCCTGTTTGACAGCCTGTGGCTTAAGCCAGCTCTAGCACAGGCAGGTCTTCCTGTGTGTGCTGTCTATGTCTTAATTTCCGTGGACAGTGACTTGGAGAAATACTGATACCATGACATCACTGGGTGTGCATGTGTATACATTTGCACACATGTGGGTTGAGGGTGACTAGAGACTTATGAAGAAAGGCTCTTGCTGGAGTCTCAGGGAAAACGGGTCTGAGACATAGCCTGAGAAGCTAAGGTGGTCCCTATTTAACCCTGAAAAAGGGGAGAGGAGATGAGGCTACCCTCAAGAACCATGCGGCTAGCCTGTGGCTGAAAATTGGCCTGTCATGTCAGACTATGTGAGGCCGTATCTCGCTCTGCCTCCCACTTGCCATGAGACTTTGGTTATTTTCTCACTTCTATAAGCCCCATCCATAAAATAGGAATGGAATTCATCAGTGAAGTTAGATCACTTAACTAGTGCTTGTTACACATAATGCATGCTCAATAACTACCAGCTGTTATAATTAACAACCATTGACCTAGATACATTTAGAAAGGGACCTCTAAGTTCTTCTAGGCCAGGGGAGACCTTCTAGGGACTCTGATGGAGATCTCCCAGTAGGCTGCAAACCCAGCATCAACTCTAAACCCAGCCCAGAGAGGGTTGCTGGTACATCCTGTAAGTTCTGTCCCACACATTTACCTTCACCAAGCGACACGTATGCTCATTCTCACCTACCCGCTGCCCCACACCACAGGAGTTGTCAACTCTATTTTTAAAACTGAGTTCTGGTTTTCCCTTGACTCACAATACTGAAATCCAGATGGAAGAGAAAAGGGGAGGGAGGCAGACGCAACAGGAGAGGAGGAAACGGGTTGAGGAAGGGGCCCCTCGGTCCCTGGTGACCCACAGCCCAACTTCTGCCACCCAGACCATCGTGATCTCCACTTACAATCTGAAGGTCTCGTTCCACTCTGGATTGAGGGAGCACTTGATGGTTTTGGTCTTCTGCTTGCTCTCACTTTTGGGATCAGGGATCAGTTTCAGCTTCACATAGGGATCTGACAAGCCATTGGGGTCCATAGGTACAAGGTTTTTAGCATCTCTTACTGAAAAACAAATATGAGGTTCAATATCAGTAAGGTCCCAATATTTAAGTACCCATCATTGATGACTGCAGGACCAGTGGCAGGGTCACGGGCCTCACATCTACTGAACAGGAATTTAAATTTATTAACATCAACAGCTAGGAAGGCATGCGATAACTTGCCAGGATGCAGATTCTGTCTTATATTGGCTAAACAACAAGATTTCTTTTAAAAATAAATCTCTTACTTATTAGCATACATTAATTATACAAAATAATGGGTTTCCTTGCAATAGTTTCATGCATGCATATAACATACTTCATGGTCAGCCTTCCTAAAAATTTAGTTCTGACTTTCATAAAGCTCTGTCCAAGCCACTCCCAAGGTACAGTCATTTTACTAAAATTGTCATCCTCAAAGCCCACAAGAAAGGCTGGCTTCTTTCACTTTCACGTAGCACTTTCAAGGTGTGTCATGGTATAGTGTGTATCAGTACTCTTTTCCCTTTTAAGGCTCAGTAATATTCCATTATATAGATATACCCATTCATCAGTCAGTCAACATTCAGGTTGTCTCTACTTTCTGACTAGTGGGATTGGTGCCACTATGAATATGTGTGTGCCCAGACACAAATGTTACATACTGTGTGATGGAACATGCCTGTGATGGTCAGCCTTGATTGTTAACTTGATTGATTGGAAAGTGCCTAGGACATTAGTAAAGCACTTGTGGGTGTGTCTGCAAGGGCATTTCCAGAGGTGGTTAGACGAAGGCTCTGACTTAATGCATGGTTTAATCCATTGATGGGTGCCAAACACGAATAAACCATTGGGAGATGGTGGACCTGCAGAAGGTGGGGTCTGATTGAAGGAGGTAAATCACTGAGGGCATGTCCTTGGGGGCTAGATCTTGGCCTGGTCACTTCCTGTTACAGCTCTGCCTGCCTCCCCACCATGATGAACTGAACCTCTGAAACCATGAGTGAAGTAGATCCTTCCTCCCTTAAGTGTCTGGTCACAGCAGTGAAAAATTCTGCCTAACATAATCCTGAACAGGTCAACCCACAGAAACAAATAGCAGACTAGCGGTCACTGCTTCACGAGTACAGACTTTGCTTCAGGGTACTGGAGATTCAGTGGCACTAGAGAGAGATGATGGCTGCCTAATGTTGTAAATGTAAACCAAGTGCCGCTGAATTGTATATTTTAAAGTAGTTAAATGGCTAATTTTATATGTTATAAATGTTGCCTTCATTCAAAAAGAAAAGGCTAGGAAAGAATTACAGGGCTGCCACCAAGACGAAGGTGCAGCTGTTATCCATGTGTCCTTCATCAGCAACACCCAGGCAGCCCACAGAGAGAAGAATGGTAACACCAGCAGCATTATAGCTAGGCTCCACCCCAGATTAAGAACACCTAGATAAAGGTTATAGGACCAGCTCAGGGAAGGGAAGGGAGTGTAGAGTCAGCACTGAAGATTCAATGGGCCACCAAGAGGATGAGAGAGGAAAACACCAGCCTGAACAAACAGGAAGAAACTGATCTGAAGTCGATTCAAAATGTAGTAGCATAGGTAAGAAGAAAAGAGGACTAGAAAATGAGGCTTGCATGGAACTTAAGGACACTGTGTTGACCATCTCAGTTATGGGAGAAAATCCAAAGTTATGTTTTCAGTTCAGATATGAATGAAATTAACTTCTAGAAGCTATAGAAGCTTCTTCTGTTAGCAGATCTATCATCAACACATTCATCAATTTACAGGTGAAAGAAGAAAACCACAAGGTTGTTGTCATTATCTAGAAATAGCAAAGAAATCCCTGGACAAGGCCAAGGCTAACTGAAGTAATAGCACCGCAGGTCATGAGACGATGATGCCCATTTCCACAACTCTCAACACTCTTTCTAATGTTCTACAGATACAAGATGACAATAAAAACAGGAATCTTACACGTTCAAAATGACAAGAAAAACAGATGGGAAGAGAGATGACTGGAATGTAGGGTGATTCATGCCTTCACTTCCCACGGTGTTCCCTTCCACCCAATCACATCCTCCCTGCGACGGTTTGAATGAGAATATCCCCCATAGGTTCCAAGTATTTGGACATTTTGTCCCCAGTTGGTGGTGCCGTTTGGGGAGGTGTTAGAAGATGTGGCACGTCACCGGGAGCGGGCTTTGATTCTTAAGACTTGTTGGATTTCCAGCGGCTTTCTGTTTCCTGCGCCTGTTTGAAAGGCAAATGCTCTGCTTTCTGCTCCAGCCATCTCTCGCCACATGGCTCCCTGCCATGATGGACTCTGATCCCTCTGGAACTGTAAGCTCAAATAAACTCTTAGTCATGGTGTTTTATCACAGCAACAGAAAAGGAACTAATACACTCCCATAGAACTTTAAGGACTCCACTCTCTTATACCACTTCTGTTATCTCCATTTCATTAGCTCTGCTTCCCATGGCAACAAATCTTCCCTCACCAATCAATCCACTGGGCCTGATGCACACTCTCTGCACCACTATTTCCTCCTGTTTCCACACCATTTAACCCAGCATAGATTTTGGGGTGCATTATAATAGTTCCCTTGAAAATGCTTTCAATTTCCTTTTCGATTTCTTTATAGTTTACTTATCTGACAAAACACAAGACCTGATTAAATTCAACTATCCTTTATTTTCCTACATTTAAGCCAATGACCATTGTTTGCTGTGAAGCAAGAAGGAGGAGAGGGAGGGAGGGAGGGAGGGAGGGAGGATCAGAGGGGACAGGAAGGAGGGAAGGAGGGAGGGGAAGGAGGAGGGAGGAGAGCAAAGATTACACATATGCACACGCTAGCAGAGGAGAGGGGGAAAGAAAGGAGGGAAAGGGAAGAAGGAAAAGAGAGAAAGGAAGGCAGGGAAGAGGAGGGGAGGGAGGGAAGCAAGAACAGAGGGAAGGAGACTTGCTTAAATACTTGCCTCAAGTAGGGACTGGAACTGAACAATGACAGAGAAGATGTAGGCGGGCTCTGGGGATGCACTGCTGTTTCGCTGTGGTCCTGTCTTCTGCTAAGCCATGGGTTCAATTCATCCTCCATCTCAGCTGCACCAAAAGCAGGAAATGTTCCTCTCCGGCCCTGATTCAGTTAAGCCCAATAAGCAGATTCCTATTATGTGCTAAGTGTTCTGTTAGGTCTTGAGGGATCCAGGAGACAACATGAGCAAGAGGATCTCAAGTTCAAGACCTCCTGGACTACCAAGTGAGTTCAAAGACAGCTGGGCAACTTAGTGAGACCTTGCCTCAAAATAAAAAGAGGCCTGGGGCTATAACTCAGTACTAAAATGCTTGCTTAGCATGTATGAGGCATTTAGTTCACGCCTCAGTGCTACAAAAATAAATAAAACACAGACAATGTAGTAAGAGGGCCATGACTGATAACAATGAGAGCAGACGCAGTAACAAAACTAGCTAGCATTTGCTGAATATTTTCTAGGTTCTGGGTTCTGCACTAAACATTCATTGTCTGATTTCACTCTTGTATCAACCTATTTTATTAAGCAAGAAATTGAGGTTGAGGGGACGGAGAGACGGCTCAGCAATTAAAGGCACTGGCTGCTCTTGCAGAAGACCTAGGTTTGATTCCCAGAACCCACATGGCAGCTAACAACGATCTGTAACTCCAGTGCCAGGGGAATCTGACACTCTCTTCTGATCTCCTGTGCATGACATGGGCACACTTACATACATGGAGGCAGTACACTCATAACACATAAAATTTTAAAATATTTTTAAAAGAAATATATTTTTAAAAGAGAAACTGAGGTTGAAGTTTGTAAAGTAACTTCCAAGTAAGTTGCCTGCCTGTCCTGTAACTGACACTATGTGGTCTGGCTACTGTCTCATCAAAAATCAGCTATACTTTTAATAAATCTGGCTTTATACGTTCTTTGTGGGCAGGATGATCATCCCATGCTGTCCCCTGAGCCTCCTGAGTAGCTGGGACGACAGACCTGGACCACCTTAGTTGTTCTTCCTAAGAACTAAGCACTGAACTTTCCCATTTGAACCCTGACTCCTCAAGCCTCAGTGTACATGAGGATCACTCAAGGGCTTGGGAACACAATTCCTGGTACCCACCCCACAGATGGATGCTGATTCAGTAAGTCTGGAGGGAGATCCATTCTTTTGCTTTTCTTTTTTTCAAATGTATTTTATTTATTTTTATTTTATGTGTATGAGTGTATTGCCTGCATGTATGTGAGTGCACCCGTGTTGTGCAATGCTGCAGAGGTCAGAAGAGGGCATAGGATTCCCCTGGAACTGGAGTTAAGGATAGTTTGTAGCCGTCCTGTGGATGCTGGGAATCGAACCCGGGTCCACTGTAAGAGCAGTCAGTGCTCTTAACTGCTGAGCCATCTCTCCAACCCCTCTTTTGCTTTTCTAAAGTCTCTGGGTGAGGTGGATGCTGCTGGCCCACAGAGCATGCATGGAGTAACAGAGTTCTGTAGAGTGATGCTTTCTTACGATGCCCATACGTTTTCCCCACAGAGCACAATCCCCAACTGTTATTTTCTCTCATTTCTTGAGTCTTCCAAGGAAAATAGCATGTGCCAGTTTCTAGTCTGTGGATGACACTTCCATCACACAGTGATCTGCATAAAAACATGAACCGAGATGTTCTGCAGAACATTGGCCAGAAACGTGTCTGTCTGGATGACTGGCAAGACACCCACAAGTAGAAAAAGCTCATCTTTCTTCTCTCTGGGAAGACCACCTCCCCATGTTCCTTGTCTTGTGAGATGACACTGGAAGGACAATCATCAGGAAGATTTCCTCTAATTTTAGATTTTCAGCTCTTGCCATCTCTGGGTGTGCTGTGTACTAAAGCTGTCCATGGCCTTCTGTCCCCCCTGCCTTGAAATGAACATTCCTCATTGAAGCATGATTCCCCCTCCCTCTCATGACCCTACTAGGACATCTCCTACTTCTATCTATTTGACTCCATCCTCTACCAAATGTGCTAAAAACTTCCAGGAATGAGTGGGGTAGA